CATCAGAAAATGTGTTTCTAAACTTCCAAAATAGCGAAGAAATTCAACATAAGATTTATATTAACAGAAATTTATCTTCCAAGTTTTGTAAGGATCAGTATATAATTGATCCTAACCTCCACACAAGGTCCCCTTCAGAAAAATCATTTAACTATTATTATATACATAATACCAATATATGGATGAAATTCGACATAAACAAGTTTTGTAGGAATTAAAATCTGTCTACTAACTTTCAGGAATATCAGTCCGCAATCGACACTACCCCTTATATAAAATCCATCTCAAAAAAATACTTTAATGCTCATAACTGGCTATAAATGGCCATAATTCCACATAATCAAGTTCTATAGGAACTAAAACCTAAAATAGAACCTCTCTTAATCCAAGCCCATATTGAAGGCGCTTTACCGAAAATTATCTTAATGTCAAAATCAATTTATGATCTACATACGTAAGTTCATATATTAGTCCACCTGAAATTCACGTTATTTTTACGACATTTTACGACAAAATATTAACATTCTTGAATTAAGAATTGATTCCTTTAAATCTTTGGTTGGAAACAAAAGTGCAGAGATTGGCAAACTAATAACAATTTCTTGAACTCTGATTAAACATTTTAACAAAAGACAAGTTTCAGTACCCTCGTAGATATAAAATAATTAAAACAAAACAATTAGTGAGTCCTAAAATACATATGCCAATTAGGTCCTATCACTACGTGATAGCCAGTAGTGTTGTAGTAACAAAAACATTTTTCTCGGGTCATTTTGGTGTTAAACCCTTCCGTGGGAAATCGATTTTCTAAAACCCTTCGCAAAAAAAATTGAGTTCTAAATTAGGAACTGCCTTCAATAACGTGCACACCGGGTGCTCCGTAACTGGATCAACCACATATTAAGGAACAGATGGATAAGCTGCGAGATGTACGATATATCGGAAATTTGTCTTTTCACAAGAAAGACAAAAATTTCTACGTATACTAAACCTTGCTTCCTGGACAAGAAGATACCAGTGACAGATTTAGTACTTAGGTGTAATTCACGACCGGAAATTAAAATGGAGACACCACATAGAGGATAGGATCAACAAGGCACATCGGCATTGGGCGATATGTAGGATAACTATAGGTATGAAATGGGGTCGTAGTCCTACTATGACAAATTGGCTTTATAAAAGTGTAATTAGACCAATTCTAGCTTATGCTTCAATAATTTGGTGGACTGCTTTACACAAAAAGTGCAGTATAAAACTACTACAGGGAGTTCAGCGTACATGCTGCTTGGGTATACGTGGTGCCATGTGTACTACTTCAACCAAGGCTCTGGAAACCTTGCTAGATATTCCACCCATTGCGCTTACAGCCGAACGGCTTCTTACTTTAGGCGAACTGTCCAAAAGAGGTTATAGGACACGTCATCAATGTATACTGGACACATTGGAAGGTTATACACAATCATCGGACGTGCCTGATCGCATACCAGACACAGAATAAGTCGGAAACTTTAAAACGCTGATCCCAGATAGAATGTCTTGGTCAAGCGGAATACTAGAGCAAATACCAGTAGGAATCCGTTGTTACACGGATGGATCTAAATTGGGGCAAGTGGGCCTTGGGTTCTATATTGAAGACTCAGAAACCTACCGTTTACCTAATCATAACACAAGCTTCCAGGCAGTAGTCCGAGCAATGACGGAATGCGTAAATTGGATTAGAATAAATATGGCGGCTACAGCACTTAATATATTTACCGACAGTCAGAAGGCAATTAGGGCGATATCAGGTGATAGAATTAAAACTAAGGCCGTATTGGATTGTAAGAAAGCTTTAACTGAATATTCTACCAGAGGTAAGGTTTACATCATATGGGTACCAGGCCACTCGGGAGTAGTCGGCAACAAAAGGGAGAATGTAATAGCTTTAAAGGGAAGGGAGCTCGTTACCTGACAAACGCAAAACCATTCGACGCAACAAAAGCTGAACTAAAAATATGGGTGAGAGGATCTCATAAGGCCTCTTGGAATAATGAAACGGTGGGTAGACCACAAAGATCCTATGGGGTGACCCTGATGAGAACAAAACGAGAAATCTCCTCTAAATAAGCAAGTCTGAAGTTAGTATGACGGTACGTATTCTAAGTGGACACACAGGATTAGGAGCACATCTATACAAAATTGGCCGTGCGGATTCAGACGAATGTAGAGCATGTGGAGAGGACAGTGAAACTCTGGAGCACTTTCTTTGCCACTTTCAGGCATACATCGAAGTTAAATCCAAGTATCTTTGAAGTTATGTTATTCCGGAAATAACATTCCTAACTAACACTGATTGGAAAATTCTTAGGGAAACCAGGAAACTGAGTTTCTGACCACTTAAAAATAATTCATTCAATAAATTTTTTCATGATAAGGAGCGCACAACAGGCCCGATAGTGGCCTAGGTGTATTTATTCGGATTTGATGTAGTATACAGCCTCCTATCAACCTAACCTAACATAAATGAGGAAGTTGAATAAATCGCAGACCTTATCATTGCCTTTTCTACCTGTAAATATCGTGGGTCAGATATGACCCATGTTCATATCAAAAATTTCCGATTTCAAGTGATATACTTGGAATGGGCAGTATTAATCAAACCTACTATTTTGATCTGCAAATCTTGAATGAATAATGTACATATCAGAAACAACTACGGTTTTAACTGTTCTACTTTACACCAATACAAATTAACGCACAGTGGAGCATTTGACCGAAAATCTGGCCAAGGCAATGATGAAGTGATTAGGGTTCCGCAAGTTATACTTACGAAAGTTGTAATTTAAAGGCAGGTTATCAAGTTAATCCAATACTTCTGATTGATCGAGCAATACTAAAAAGTGTATCGTATATTTGCCGATACATATAAAATCTTAATTCCTCGTAGACATCAGCTAATGTTGCAATGCAGATTGTCTATTAGTTAAATAACTTTGACAAGTACGACAGTATTGCAATAGGTCTATCGCCTTTATCAGGTTTTTAAGTCGGTATTATTTTAGCATATTTCGACATTGTGGAAGGATTTAAAGAAATTTAATCTGATTCGACTGAAACGAATTTAATGTTTTTTTTTTTAAAGTTTGCGAACGCAAAAGAAAGAGAATTACGATGATTGGCAATATCTGTGGACTTGAAAGATAATACTGGAATTAGCCATTGGTATCGTCATAGTTATTGCCCACTATTAACGTTATGTTTAATAACACGCATATCTTTAGTTACACTCCTTTTAAAGTTGATGAAAAATTTTCATATTAAAGAAAAATTTTCATATTAAAGAAAAATTTTACCACCATTTTGAGCAAAATACTCCTCTGTGCAACGGCTGATTTATAAAATAATTGGTCGATATTATTTGTTTTACATTCAAAGTTCTTGTTAGTTGGTATTTGAAGAAAAAAAATCTTCCCAAAGTCTACAGATTTCATTGTTCATTTGGATATGTTTTACGTCTTTTCATGTGCGTTCATTATGCAAAATATTTAACAATAAATTTAAAAAAAACTATAAGTTAATTGTATTAAAAATGTGAGAAACCTTTGTTTTAAACTACAATTAAACACCTCTAATATTGTGATATGGAATGGATGCAGTAGGTATGCAGGTATGTATGATGCTAAATGATTATGAAAGATTTAACCCCGTTTTCATACACACTTTCCATACTAAACCATCAAAACGTTATTAATCGTTTATGAATACAGCGGTTAGATATTAGACATTTTTGGTTGAATGTCCGGGGGACATTGTTATTTCAGTATTATATGTATATTACATCAGGTCCACTATTGGCCCTGTTGTGCATTCCTTTTCATGGATAGTTTAGGTGAATCTATGATAGGAATTATGGTCGAATGTTTAGAAACTCCCATGTAATCGTATGGGATTATCACGCCCATATTTTTAATTTAACCCTCGTTTTGTCGCTTTAAATTTCGTCAGGTTGACTTCCACCAGCACTTTTCCCTCCACAGCATCTAGATTAGCTCTTTCATTGACGATTATCTTTGAATTGGTGAACATATGATGCTGAGATTACCACTGGAAGAATATGGCTCTATCATAGTCCAATACGGTCTTACATTTAACCTTATCAGCTGGATTCGCCATAATTACTTTCTAGCTGTTGGAAAATATGTTAACCTCTGTCGGTGCCATACATATTCTATCCAGTCCATTATACACATTCCGTAAGCTAGTATTCTAGTTAGATAGGCGGTATCAATCTAGAGTAACAGACCCATTTTATCTTTCACCGTGTAACAACAAATTCCCACAGAGGTTTGCTATATTGTTTCGCTTGACCACGATCTCTTGTCTGTAATCAATATTTCAGAGTTCCCGACAATTTCTGCTTTGATCATATCGCCTTAAAATATACGTAGCTTGGCTGTGAATGCCGCCTGTAAGGATATCAAGCAATATTTCCAGAGATTTGATTGACGTATTGCTCATGGCACCTCTTATATGCAAGCTACATTTTTGCTGAACTCCCTGTAATGGTATTAGGTAACACTTTTTCATCAAACAAGTCCATCAGACTATTGAAGGATAAGTTATAAATCCTATAGGTCATAGTTGGGCTAAGAGCCCATTTCGAGACTATGGTTCGCCCGTGTTGAACTTTTTTAGCCAAACAAGTCCACCCGCCTATTGAGGGTTAAGTTAGAATTGTAATAATTACGCGTAAGAGACACGATTTCGAGCCTGTGGCCTACAAAGTGTATTTAATGTTCAAGAACTAAGGTTCAGTATAGGTAGGGGTTTTCGTCTTGGTTGAGCCCAAGCTGAGTGGTTGAGTAACAGATTGATTTTAATCATTTATAGGTTAAGGTCCTTAGGAAGCTATTAATCATGTTAACTCAATTACAACTATGTTTAGAATTTTCCATGTTTAAAAACTGTTACAAGGTGTTTGGAATGCGTTGGAATTGCCGGATTTTGGTTATAAAGTCCTATAAATAGTTCAATCGTTTAGGGAGATAAATCGTCTTTCGTCACAAATGTAGTCTTTGTAAACGAGAGTGAAGGCAGTCGTCACTTTAGTGTCCCCCTTTGTAAGCGAGGGAGGATATAGTCGTTACTTCACAGACCCCAAGTAATCTAAAGAGTGGACATTTAAAAAACAAACCTAAGAGTAAAAGCCTTTCATAAACTCCTTTGGAAAGACTTTCTTTGTAAGCTATACAGTAGGTGAGTAAGTAGTTCGGCACTCTCCGGTCGAACTGCTGTGATTTCTAACATTTCATTTATCATAGTGTAAGTCGTTATTCGAAGAAACACCCTAATATTTTAATATTATTAATTAGGTAGCTAGGTTGATAGAAGGATGTATACTACATCAAATCCGAAGAAATACACCTAGGCCACTATCGGGCCTGTTGTGCGCACCTTATCATGAAAAAAAATATATTTTTCAGTGTCCACAAACTCAGTTTCCTGAACGTAATTCCTAAGAATCTTCCAATCAGTGTTAGTCAGGAATGTTATTTCCGGAATAACATCACTTCTAAGATACTTGGATCTAACTTCGACGAATGCCTGGCAGTGGCAAAGAAAGTGTTCCAGAGTTTCACTGTCCTCTCCACATGCTCTACATTCGTCTGAATCCGCACGTCCAATTTTGCAGAGATGTGCTCGTAATCCTGTACGTACCATCATACTAATTTCAGACTTGGTCATTTTGAGGAGACCCCTCGTCTTGCACTCATCAGGGCCACCCCATAAGATCTTCGTGGTTCTACCCAATGTTTCATTATTTCAAGAGGCCTTATGGTATCCTCTCACCCATATTTTTAGTTTAGCTTTTGTTGCGTCGAATGGTTCTGCGTTTGTCAGGTTAACTGCCTCGAGCTCCCTTCCCTTTAAAGCTATTACATTCGCCCTTTCGTTACCGACTATTCCCGAGTGGGCTGGTACCCATACGATATGAACCTTACCTCTGGGAGAGTATTCAGTTAAAGATTTCTTACAATCCAATACGGTCTTAGATTTAGTTCTATCGCCTGATATCGCCCTAATAATAATATGTATTATTAATTAAATTTTTAATTGTACCAAAAACTAATTAAAATTAATTTTAATAATTTCCTTTTAAAATGAAATGTATTTTCCCAAAAAATCTCTTACAAAAATACTGTGAGGTTATGGAAAACTATAAACACACATACACATGCATATGCCTTTAATAATTTTTTATTATTTAAATGCATATTTTATGAAAAACTTTATTAGTTGTGTGAGAACTTAAACATATTGTAACGAAAAATTCAATGGAAATTTTAAAATTCTACCTCCTCTTTCAACAAAATAATGAAAAATATTGATTTTTTGCAAATATTCAGGAGAGCAGAAAAATATTATTTTCATTCATTGATTAGTTAGTTAGTTTAAACATTTTGAAACTGTTTGTAAAATTTCTTTAAAAAATGAGAAAAACGATTAAGAATGTATTAATAAATGAAACAGTTAAAATAACCGAACATTTCAACTAAATGTTTCAACATGAGAAATTTTATGAATTGAGTACTAGAACTCATTTTTAACAATAATTTATAAACGTTAAGTGTCGTCGAAATAAAAAAAATTATAAACACTTTTGATAAGAATCGCAATTACATGTCGAATTCGCTTAATACGACTATTAATCGAGAGTAAACTAACATAAAAAATAATAAAGATTTGATAAGACTTCTTTTCTAGATAGTAAATATTGGTGCTAGAGAAATATGAATTTTGGCTTGGAGGTATTGGCCAGAAGAGTTTGGTATCAGTTAACCGGCAACCGGCTACGAGTCAATTGTGGTATATTGTGGGGTACCGCCTGGGCTTTAATAAAGGTACTTGAATGAATATTAAAGTTGTTGTAAATTTTGCTTGATAAGAAATCAAGAGTGAGAGTGTTTTTAATATATTTAAAACTAAACAAAGTGGAACTAATGTTTTTTGGTTAACAAAAACATTGGATAACGGTACCGGTCTTGACTCCAGATCAGTTTTGAACATAAATGAGTCTATAAACCAGTTTAGAGATCAAGTTCATAGTCTCAACTATAGATCAGTCTACAGTCATGACAATAGAACAGTATATATGTAAATTAGCCTATAATCTTGACAATATAGCCATAGTCTTGAATATACATAAGGCTATAGTCTTGACTATAGCAAAAGATATAATCTTGCCTATAGATATAATCTATAGTCTTAATTATAGATAAAGTCCACAGTCTTTACTTTACTAGTTTATAGTCTTCAATATAGACCAGTCCATTTTTTTTACTATAGACCAGTCTATAGTCTTGACTATACATCAGTCTTGACTATAGATCTATATATAGTATTGACTATAGATCTATCTATAGTCTTGACTATAGATCAAGTCCATAGTCTTTACTAGTTTATAGTCTTCAATATAGACTAGCACATAGTCTTGGCTATAGACTAGTCTACAGTATTGACTGTACATCAGTCTATATTCCTGACTATAGACCAGTCTATAGTCCTCACTATAGATCAGTCTATAGTCTTGATTATAGATTTATATACAGTCTTGACTATAGACCTACATATAAATATAGTTTTGAGTATAGACCTACCTATATTGCTGACTATAGACCTATCTATAGTCTTGATTATAGCCCTATCTTATCTAGTCTTGTCTATAGGCCTATCTATATTCTTGGCTATAGACCAATCTATAGTCATAACTATACACAAATCTGTAGTCAGAATATAGTCTTGACAATAGATGAGTCTATAGTCTTGACCTATAGACTAGTCTATAGTATTAACTATAGATCAGTCTATAGTCTTGTCTATAGATCTGTCTATTGTCTTGTCTATAAATTAGCCTATAGTCTTGTCTATAGATCAGTCTATAGTCTTGTCGATAGATCAGTCTTAGTCTTGACTACAGATCAGTCTATAGTCTTGACTAAAGATCAGTTTATAGTCTTGTCATATAGACTAGTCTATACTATTAACTATAGATCAGTCTGTAGTCTTGTCTATTGATCAGTCTATAGTCTTGACTATAGACAAGTCTATTGTCTTGACTATAGATTAGTCTACAGTTTTGACTATAGATCAGTTTATAGTCTTGACTATACATTAGTCTATAGTCTTGACTATATATCAGTATATAGTCATGACTATAGATCAGTCTATAGTCATGACTATAGATCAGTCTATAGTCATGACTATAGAACAGTCTATAGTCTTGACTATAGATCAGTCTATAGTCTTGACTATAGCGTACTCTATAGTCTTTATTATAGATTAGTCTATAGTCATGACTATAGATCAGTCTATAGTCTTGACTATAGATTAGTCTGCAGTCTTGACTATAGATTAGTCTATAGTCTTGACTATAGACAATTGTATAGTCTTGACTATATATAGTCTTGATTATAGATTAGTCTATAGTCTTGATCATAAATTACTCTATAGTCTTGACTTTACATATATAAGTCTATAGTCTTGACTATAAATTAGTCTATAGTCTTAACTTTAGATTAGTCTATAGTCTTGACAATAGATTAGTCTATAGTCTTGACTATAGATCAATCTATAGTTTTAACTATAGGTCAGTCTATAGTCTTGATTATATATCAATCTATAGTATTGACTATAGATCAATCTATAGTCTTGATCATAAATTACTCTATACTATTGACTATAGTCCATAGTCTTACTATAGATCAATCTTGACTAAAGCGTACTCTATAGTCTTATTTGTAGATTAGTCTATAGTCATGACTATAGATCAGTCTATAGTCTTGACTATAGATTAGTCTATGGTCTTGACTATAGATTAGTCTGTAGTCTTGACTATAGATTAGTCTATAGTCTTGACTATAGATTAGTCTATTGCGTTGACTATAGACAATTGTATAGTCTTGATTATAGATCAATCTATAGTATTGACTATAGATCAGTCTATAGTTTTGATCATAAATCACTCTATACTATTGACTATAGATTAGTCCATAGTCTTACTCAATCAATCTATAGTCTTGACTATAGATCAGTCTAGACTTTAGATCAGTCTATAGTCTTGACTATAGATCAGTCTATAGTCTTGACTTTAGATCAGTCTACAGTCTTGACTATAGATCAGTCTATAGTCTTGACTATAGATCAGTCTATAGTCTTGACTATAGATCAGTCTATAGTCTTGACTATAGATCAGTCTATAGTAGTGACCGTAGATCAGTCTATAGTGTTAGCTATAGATCAGTATATAGTCATGACTATAGATCAGTCTATAGTCTTGACTATGTATCAGTCTATAGTCTTGACTATAGACCAGTCTATATTTTTTACTAGTATTGACCATAGATCAGTATATAATCATGACTATGGAATAGCCTGAACTATTGATCAGTCTATAGTGTTAGCTATAGATCAGTATATAATCATGACTATAGATCAGTCTAGTCTTCATAAGTATTTGATGATCAATCTTAAAAAATGAAATGAACTTAATTCTTATTCCCCTTGCAGATGAGCAACGATGAACAAAGCTGCTGGCATCGTACATTTCATCCTATAGCTAAAGAATTTCAAAAGGATAAATTTTGCTTTTGTCATGAACCCGTAGATGATTTCCTAAAATCCCAAGTAAGTTTTAAATTAAAGTAATAATAAAAAAGAAAGACATTTTTCTAAACATTTCAATACTTTTCAGTGGCAAACCTCACAGAAATCCTTTCTCTGGCTATTATATCGCTGGGGCCTGGCGGTATGCTTTTGCATTGGTGTGTTTGGTAGTTTAGTACAACAATGGGCTCAGGGTCGTTGGTTTATATATTTAACCGATTGGGGTTTCTTTTTGTGCATGTTTGTTAGTGTTTTTGGTGCTGTAATAGCGACAATATTTTACTTTAAACCAGATAAATTTGGTTGGTATTTTATTTTTTCAATGTTTCAGTATAAAAATTCTTTATTTATCTTTTGTTCTGTTTTTAGTTGCAAATAGTGGTGTTATAAAATTTTATTGGCTTTCCCATTGGTCTACCTTGGTGGTCGCTACAGTGATAACTTTTATGTATTGGCTTTTTATATATCCCAGTAAGTTTTTAATATGTTATTATCTGATTTGATTAAGTATGTGTAGTTCATTGAACAATATTAAAAATTTTATGGAACGTTATCTAAAAATTGCAAATTTCCTGAATGTCTGAAGTATTTTTGATTCTAATCGAATTTGTAGTGATTGTTAAGTGTGATTTACAGATTTAGAAATATGTATAAATAGTTTTAATATAAAAAGGAACAGTGGGGCTAATTGGAAACTACATACTTGAATAAATTCATAAAATATACCTTTTACAAATTCTGTTTTTCTTTTTAGCCGATGATGCCAGAGCTTCAGATTTATATAATTTATGGGCCCATGGTTTCAATTCTGTATTGATGTTATTGGATCATATGCTGGTGGCATTCCCTACACGTATTTTGCATTTCATTTATCCATTAATTTTAGGACTTGCTTATGGTATTTTCTCCATTATTTACTATTTTGCGGGAGGTGTGGATATGTAAGTAAAAAAATAGAAGTAGAAAATTAGATACAAATTATAAAGACAACTAAAAGAGGATCTAACTACAGCATAAAAGATATTGAAGTGAAACATTATTAAGACTTCTTCGTTACGAGAAAAGTCAAAGTTCATTAAGTTCATTTCATAATTAACAAAATTTTCTCTTTTCCTTCTTTCTTCCAGCAATGGCAATCGTTATATTTATGAAATATTGGATTGGTCGCAACCTGGCTGGGCCACTTTAGTGATATTCGGCTGTTTAATTTTAGTTTTAATCTTTTGTTTTCTACTATTCTGTCTATATAAATTAAGAAAAACTATTTATTGTAAATGTAATAATTCTAAAATGACCATAACTGCCTAAAACCAAGAGAAAATAAAAAATAAAACCGTTAAGTACAAAATCTAATGTAAAACTTCTTTATAAGATTTGTTTTATTATATTTCTTTTTCGTTTTTTGTTGAATTAAAAATATTTAAAAGATGAATGCTTGCGTTTAAGGGGTAATTTTCAAGCCATTTTATTAATAACGGCCATTTGTAGAGACTGTATTTGATTGGACCATTTGTCGATGGCATTATAACGTGAGCCAGTGCTGTTCTCTTTATCCAATTGCAAGACTTGATTAACCTGATCAATGCGTCCTTGTATGGTGCTATAAAAGACAATAACAAATTTCACTTAAACTTTGCTACAACAAATATATTTTCAAATTACTAACTTATCCAATATACAGGACACCAATAGACTTTCCACCTCTGCCGGTTCGATGTTAAGAGCATTAGCTATAAATGGTATGGCTATATTCTTATAGGGACGTATTAACTTTATCAATACTTGGGTGCGTATATTGCGCAATAAGTCTTCAATATGCTCTCTTATAAAGGGATCGGCCATTATATTGCTGCGATTGTGTCTTAAAATCGATTCAAATTCGTTGATATCATTATTTTGATAGGACACCACCAAATTGGTCATGGCTAGAATTTCCGGATCATTTTTGTAGGGTTTAGCTTCTTGTGAGTCGAAAGGATTAATGCCCGACTTCATTAACCTGTAAGTAAAGTTTTAATTGCAGAATAACTAAAGTATTGAGTGTCTAATTTAGAAAGGATTCGAAACAGGTGGCTGTTGTTGTTGTTGTTAAGTTAAAACTATACAATAATCTTGTTGGGGGTTCTACATCAATGTCCAGACCTAAAAATTGTGCTACTTCAACTGGATGTGTTCATAAATTGGACAAAGTGAGCAGTTGAATATGTGGAGGGTATCATGGGCACCTTGACCACATACTAGACATTCATTGGGGACGACTCGGTCTATGCGTGACCTGTAGTCATTAAGCCTGTTGCTGCATCCCGATTTTTGTTGTGTCAGAACTGCTCTTGTTTTCTGCAGCAGCTTTTCTTCTGTGTCTGCTATGGGCGACCTACAAGAACGACATTCATGCGATATTGATGGCGTCTCTATGAATGTTATTCAAAGCTGCCATATAAGTGGACTGATCTATTGGATCCTACACAAAACTGCATACTTTTTTGTATTTTTTGTAACAACAATACAAAAAACAGATGCTGTAAAGTTCCACTAAAGCAAGCCTAATGCTGAGCGAAATTTACAACTAAAGTGTTCCATTGGTTTTAACGTGCGATGGCTTGTTTATTCCGCCAAAGATCACTCAGGCCAAGCAAAAAATACATTGGAGAAGCAGTATTCAACTAAAATCTGGTAAATTGGTTAACATACAAAATGAGAGTATGACGGCTAGGAATATGTACACAATCAGACTATATTGTGTACCAGGGCACTGTATTAAACATAGTAATGAAATATGAGATAAACTTAGAAAATACCCTGACACAATAGGATGGAATCCAGGGTATCTAATGTGCCTTAAGGTGCACTCTAATGCCATCAGAGTGCTAATTATGTTTGCGTGGTATTGGGTCAAATTGGGTCTAGTAGAAGAGCTAAAAGGAGTAGAACAGGTGTATAGGGAATATAGAGTAAGATATCGCATGATGAACTCGTGGTTATAGCTAGATATGAGCTTGACGATCATATAAGTAACGAATTCATTCGAAAATTCTAGAATTCTAGATTCCATATCATAGATATGGAGTTTTGATAGGATAAATAAGACCAGTGGGACAATAGTCTTTCCTTCTCTATAGATTTCTAATTATATAATTCCATTTATAAAAAATAATAAAAGAAATCACAATTATACTCACATATTTGCCAATACCAAATATTTCAAACAAGTCGTTCGGCGTGGCGAGCCCGATTCATCATAATTTTTAAATGCCTCAAAGAAATCTGTATGAGCCTTTTCAAATTCACCTTCACGCAAATGCATTTTACCACCGCATTCTCTAATTACGCCCATAATCAGAGGATGCGGTATGGCCGACTTAATGTGTAACGATTGCTCGTACAAAGCCTTTAGTTTTTTATTATTCTTTTGCACTGTGTACATTTGAATTTCCAAGGCATAGATTTCCAAGAGTTGGGTGCCTTTCTTTAAATCATCTTCACCATCGTCTGTCTGACACGATGAGTGAAGTTGTTTAAGAATTTTTTGTAATTTGCCAAATTCACTACGATCGAAATAGAGTTTCCCCAATTTGGTATTGGTCTTGAACCACAGCCGATCATTTTTTGCATCCTTAAGGGCTTCCAAAGTAGTTTCATAGAAATTTTGCAAAAGTTCCATCTTTTTGAACAATTAAAAAAAAAAGGAAAATGTTAAACAATGTTAATTTTGTGAAACAATAACTTACATTTTTGGAAGTAGATATATAATCCAATATGGAGTTAATAGACTTTTCCGAATGATTGCGTGTCACGGCACTTTTGATGTAAGTCAACAATTGTTTGTATCTCACCATCATTTCCTCATAATTATTCTAAAAAGATATTCATTTGAAAATAAAGCATGTACAAAATTTTGAAAATTTTTTACTGCATTTACCAATTTAAAATTGATTTTAATCATTTGCTTAAGAGCCTTAAAGCCCCATTCTCCCTTTTCACCATTTTCCAAATCTAAGACTTTTTGGAAGGATGCCAATGCCGCTTTCGGATCATCTTCTTTTAAAGATTTGCTGTTATAATATTGATTTTCTAAATCAACATCTGGTTCTGAATTGCTATCTTCCGAATATTCCTAAAAATATATATATTAACAATAGAAAAGATGCTTTTATCAGACAACTCCTGGCCACAACCGGCTTATTTCGCTTGTCACAAAACTTCAACGCAACGACTTACCAAACCATAATCCTCATCATCTTCACACATAAAATCATCATCATTATCGGACATTTTTCTTATATTTTTTAATTAATTTTTATAAAATAGAAGATAATTTAGTATTTTAGAATTTTTTCTAAGAATTTCTGCAATCTATTTTTGCACAAACAAAAAAGCGATTTTTTTTCAGCTGTCAGAATCTACTGTTGCCAGATTGTTTGAGTGAACCACTTTACTACAGAGTTGCTTTATTTGAAAAAATTAGTACACTTAAGAAAATTTTTAATATTTAACGATTTTCTGTGAAAAATATTAGGAAATTCAAAAATGAAAGAGATAGACGGCACATATATTCTTTACAAATAAGGTTTGTTTGGTATTGCAATATTTTTACTTAAATCTACCTTCTTAATTTTATTAATTGACACCTCATACACATGAGGTAATTTGAGCTTTTAATAAATGTTTAAAATCTGTTTTGTTTTTTTACAAAATACACAATTAATTTGTAGTTTTCTTTTGGATTTGTAAATTCAGTCCCTCTGAAATTTTTATGTTAGTTTAACTCAGTGTTATTGGCCAATTAAACCTAAGTTATAAATGAGATTACACTACGCAGCAAAAATAAATTCCTCGGAAAATATATCATAAAACTTGGTGAAAGGATTTGTTTTTAATTTTTAAAAATTCATCAAATTTAATTTTTTTACTTTTTTCCATCCCTGCATAATTTCTCACACAACTTTTGTGCTTGCTCTATTTTATTGTTATAAATTATTTACAAAATCCCACTTAAAATGTCTCTCGGATTCTGTTTTTATTTAAAATCTTTAAAATTTTTAAAATTATGCGTATTTGAGAACTTAGACGGCTTAAAGTCGATTTTAAGCTGTCGACGATATTTTTAGTGCCGCCGCCGTTAATATTTGTCCGCGCAGGGCTCTGTACGGCAACATTCAGTTAGTAAACGTCACAAGCACAACTAGTAAACTTTTTTATTTTCCAATTGGATATTTGTTTTACTATAATTTCATTCATTGTAAAGTATTGGATTTTTCAAGGTTTTCTCTTAAAGCCCAAAACATAATTTAAGTGTATTTAAAGAATCTCATTAGATTTATTTCGACAAATATTAATTATTACTATTAAAGAAAGAAAAAACTATGCCCGTCCGAAAATATCGACATGAAACAAGAGAAGTAAATTGTTGCATGAAATATGTATTGTTTATTTGCAATACATTGTTATGGGTAAGTCCACACTTGACATTGTATGTGTTTTCGATTGTTTGTTTATTAAGTGCATTTGTGAAAAAGATTTTGTATCTATTATGGTTTTGTTTGTGTTATATTATTTTGTCATAGCTACAGATACAAAGCATTTCATGCAAAATGATCAAAAGTTACAAAGTCGTTCGTCGCAAGGCCGTTTTGGCGCCGTCGTTAAATCCCAATATGGAGTTATAGGCCATAAAAAATGTAATGGGGTTGATGTGTATTGATTTAGTTGTTATTTATCGTAATATGACAATTGTTTTGTTAAATTTAGTTAATTAGAAGAAAAATAGTAAATAACAAGAGAAATAACTTGCGAAGATCGCAAATCGTGACGCCGTTAAATAAATCGTTTTAGCATATACTGTTTAAAAATATAATGAAAATGTAATTTTGTAAATTTGCTTTTTTTAGATGACTGGTTTAATTATACTAGCGGCTGGCATTTGGGCATGGAATGAAAAAGATACTTTTAGCAATTTAAACAAGTTGACCCTGTTGGTGTTAGATCCGGCCTTCGTACTAATATGCATTGGTAGTTGTGCATTTTTAATTGGTTTTACGGGGAGTGTAGGAGCCCTGCGTGAAAATACCTGTCTATTAGCAACTGTAAGTAGAGTTTTAACTATTTTAAGACTATTTTAATTAATTCATTTGTTTTTTTTTAGTTTATTTTACTAGTGTGTGTTTTGCTGGTTGTGGAAGTTTGCTTTGGTGTCATGTATCTTGTATTGAAAGACAAAGGCTGGGTATGTTAATTTGTTGCTATTAGTAAGAGAATTACTTTGATATTATTCCTCTCTTTTTATTAGATAAAAGATCAAGCTACTGAGGGCTTGCGCGCCTTTATTATCCACTATCGGGAAGATCCCGATCAACAGAATCTTATTGATTGGATACAAGAAGATTGGCTGCAGTGTGTGGCATTGATGGTCCCAAAGATTGGGATAGTAATAATTATTTCAATTGTTCCTCTTATGCCATTGGTAGCCGGGAGGCTTGCGGAGTACCATTTTCCTGCTGCCGTCGGCAATCACATGAACTAATTAAAAACAAACAAATGTGGTTATGATGTACGCAAGGAGGGCTATGTAAGTATTATGAATTTTTATTAACTAAACTTTTGACCTGACTATAGACTAGATAATAGACTAGACAATACACTAGGCAATAGACTAGACAATAGACTAGGCAATAGACTAGACTATTGACTAGACTATAGACTAGACTATAAACTAGACTATAGACTAGACTATAGACTAGACTATAGACTAGACTATAGACTAGACTATAGACTAGACTATAGACTAGACTATAGTATAGACTAGACTATAGACTAGACTATAGACTAGACTAGACTAGACTATAGACTAGACTATAGACTAGACTATAGACTAGACTATAGACTAGACTATAGACTAGACTAGACTAGACTATAGACTAGACTATAGACTAGACTATAGACTAGACTATAGACTAGACTATAGACTAGACTATAGACTAGACTATAGACTAGAATATAGACTAGACTATAGACTAGACTATAGACTAGACTATAGACTAGAATATAGACTAGACTATAGACTAGACTATAGACTAGACTATAGACTAGACTATAGACTAGACTATAGACTAGACTATAGACTAGACTATAGACTAGACTATAGACTAGACTATAGACTAGACTATAGACTAGACTATAGACTAGACTATAGACTAGACTATAGACTAGACTATAGACTAGACTAGACTATAGACTAGACTATAGACTAGACTATAGACTAGACTATAGACTAGACTATAGACTAGACTATAGACTAGACTTTAGACTAGACTATAGACTAGACTATAAACTAGACTATAGACTAGACTATAGACTAGACTATAGACTATAGACTAGACTATAGACTAGACTATAGACTAGACTATAGACTAGACTATAGACTAGACTATAGACTAGACTATAGACTAGACTATAGACTAGACTATAGACTAGACTATAGACTAGACTATAGACTAGACTATAGACTAGACTATAGACTAGACTATAGACTAGACTATAGACTAGACTATAGACTAGACTATAGACTAGACTATAGACTAGACTATAGACTAGACTATAGACTAGACTATAGACTAGACTATAGACTAGATTATAGACTAGACTATAGACTAGACTATAGACTAGACTATAGACTAGACTATAGACTAGACTATAGACTAGACTATAGACTAGACTATAGACTAGACTATAGACTAGACTATAGACTAGACTATAGACTAGACTATAGACTAGACTATAGACTAGACTATAGACTATAGACTAGACTAGACTAGACTATAGACTAGACTATAGACTAGACTAGACTAGACTAGACTAGACTATAGACTAGACTAGACTAGACTAGACTAGACTAGACTAGACTAGACTAGACTAGACTAGACTAGACTAGACTAGACTAGACTAGACTAGACTAGACTAGACTAGACTAGACTAGACTAGACTAGACTATAGACTAGACTATAGACTAGACTATAGACTAGACTATAGACTAGACTATAGACTAGACTATAGACTAGACTATAGACTAGACTATAGACTAGACTATAGACTAGACTATAGACTAGACTATAGACTAGACTATAGACTAGACTATAGACTAGACTATAGACTAGACTATAGACTAGACTATAGACTAGACTTTAGACTAGACTATAGACTAGACTATAGACTAGACTATAGACTAGACTATAGACTAGACTATAGACTAGACTATAGACTAGACTATAGACTAGACTATGGACTAGACTATAGACTAGACTATAGACTAGTGACTAGGCTATATGACTAGGCTTCAAGTATAAAACTGTTAATAGTACAATTGTTAATTAATTAATTATTAAATAAATAACATTATTTATGTTCAAATGCTTAGAATACAATACCAAACAGACACTGTTTATATTGCATAAAAATTGGGATTATTACTTGGGGTTAAATGTTTTAAACACAATACATACTGAGTAAACAAGCTAAACAAAGAAATTCATATTTTAATATCTATTCTTATTCAAACAAAACCCATTTTTAATTTATTTAACTCTTAACAGTGACAAACTTGTTTTGAGCCATTGTTTTTATTTCGGTTTTAAATTCTATAAATATAATTTAACAGTTTACAGTTATGTCTCTTCTTACGTTTAAAAGAACTCTAAACAAAATTATTTATATTTTATGTATTTAAAATTTTAATAGGTTTTGTTTTGAAGTTTATGTTAATAACTAAATATTGGTAGTATTCATTAGGGGGGTTCTTTTTATAAGTATTTCATGAAATTGGCATGTTAGTGCGAATTATTTATTCTGTTAAAGTTTTAAATGCTGTTAAAACTATCTCTGAGAATTTAAGAAAACATAATATTAGTTTTTCTAACGAAATTAAACTTAGTTATGATCGAATAATTAATGATACCATTTTTTAACCATTTTAAACTAGGAGAAGATGGAAGTTCAAAAAGTATCTTCATACATACATATACATACGTATACAAATCTCAAGAAGATGAGGGGATTAAAAATGTGATGTCAAACGTAAGGACTAAAGGTGGCATATGTAGCGAAAGACAACAGAAATATTATTTTATCATTTTCGTACAACTGGTTTTATGACAGACACATGAACTATATTAGCAGTTAGTTTCAAAAAGTACTCAATCGTTTTTGGTTTCGCTCTTTTTCAAAAACCTGTTTGTTTTGTTTTGTATATGTGATCACATTAGTAAATCCGAGTTTTGCATATCCCCTCATTTCGTACTAGATTAACATAAATAATAGTAGTAGTAGATGTAGTAGTAGATGTAACTAAACGCTTTCAAACTAAAAATAAAAAGCAGTTTTCAAAGAAAAATACATACCGACAACTACATGAAAAAGTTTAAAACGGCGCATATTTCTTAAAAAACACGAATTTTGAGTCATGCTAGTCTTATATACTTGCAATATATACTTTGTTGATAAGGGTTAATATAACTGAAATAAGCATCTTAAATCATATAAGTATGTGTGTGAAACTTTTGGCTTGTTATTTTTTTAACTTCCCGCCTTTAGTGCAAATATGCACATGGAATATGGAATACGTTTCTCTCTTTGTAAATATGCTGCTCATCCTGACAGGGTAACCATATCTGCAAATTGGTTTTGCATTGTCATAGTATGTATCTTATTATTTAAAATATTAATTGGATAAGGAGTATTCTCTGCATTGGCTGTATATTTCCTCGATATAATTTTATATCAAATTTAGAGGTAACCATCCCTGGATTGTGTTTAAACATGATAGACTAGTCTAGTTTATAGTCTAGTATATAGTCTAGCCTATAGTCTAGTGTATAGTTTAGTGTATAGTTTAGTCTATAGTTTAGTATATAGTCTAAAGTCTAGTCTATAGTCTATTCTATAGTCTAGTCTATAGTCTATTCTATAGTCTATTCTATAGTCTAGTCTAAAGTCTAGTCTTTAGTCTAAAGTCTAATCTATAGTTTAGTCTAATCTATAGTTAGTCTATAGTCTAGTCTATAGTCTAGTCTATAGTCTAGTCTATAGTCTAGTCTATAGTCTAGTCTATAGTCTAGTCTATAGTCTAGTCTATAGTCTAGTCTATAGTCTAGTCTATGTCTAGTCTATGTCTAGTCTATTGTCTAGTCTATAGTCTAGTCTATAGTCTAGGCTATAGTCTAGTCTATAGTCTAGTCTATAGTCTAGTCTATAGTCTAGTCTATAGTCTAGTCTATAGTCTAGTCTATAGTCTAGTCTATAGTAGTCTATAGTCTAGTCTATAGTCTAGTCTATAGTCTAGTCTATAGTCTAGTCTATAGTCTAGTCTATAGTCTAGTCTATAGTCTAGTCTATAGTCCTAGTCTATAGTCTAGTCTATAGTCTAGTCTATAGTCTAGTCTATAGTCTAGTCTATAGTCTAGTCTATAGTCTAGTCTATAGTCTAGTCTATAGTCTAGTCTATAGTCTAGTCTATAGTCAGTCTAGTCTAGTCTATAGTCTAGTCTATAGTCTAGTCTATAGTCTAGTCTATAGTCTAGTCTATAGTCTAGTCTATAGTCTAGTCTATAGTCTAGTCTATAGTCTAGTCCTATAGTCTAGTCTATAGTCTAGTCTATAGTCTAGTCTATAGTCTAGTCCTATAGTCTAGTCTATAGTCCTAGTCTATAGTCTAGTCTATAGTCCTAGTCTATAGTCTAGTCTATAGTCTAGTCTATAGTCTAGTCTATAGTCTAGTCCTATAGTCTAGTCCTATAGTCTAGTCTATAGTCTAGTCTATAGTCTAGTCTATAGTCTAGTCTATAGTCTAGTCTATAGTCTAGTCTATAGTCTAGTCTATAGTCTAGTCTATAGTCTAGTCTATAGTCTAGTCTATAGTCTAGTCTATAGTCTAGTCTATAGTCTAGTCTATAGTCTAGTCTATAGTCTAGTCTATAGTCTAGTCTATAGTCTAGTCTATAGTCTAGTCTATAGTCTAGTCTATAGTCTAGTCTATAGTCTAGTCTATAGTCTAGTCTATAGTCTAGTCTATAGTCTAGTCTATAGTCTAGTCTATAGTCTAGTCTATAGTCTAGTCTATAGTCTAGTCTATAGTCTAGTCTATAGTCTAGTCTATAGTCTAGTCTATAGTCTAGTCTATAGTCTAGTCTATAGTCTAGTCTATAGTCTAGTCTATAGTCTAGTCTATAGTCTAGTCTATAGTCTAGTCTATAGTCTAGTCTATAGTCTAGTCTATAGTCTAGTCTATAGTCTAGTCTATAGTCTAGTCTATAGTCTAGTCTATAGTCTAGTCTATAGTCTAGTCTATAGTCTAGTCTATAGTCTAGTCTATAGTCTAGTCTATAGTCTAGTCTATAGTCTAGTCTATAGTCTAGTCTATAGTCTAGTCTATAGTCTAGTCTATAGTCTAGTCTATAGTCTAGTCTATAGTCTAGTCTATAGTCTAGTCTATAGTCTAGTCTATAGTCTAGTCTATAGTCTAGTCTATAGTCTAGTCTATAGTCTAGTCTATAGTCTAGTCTATAGTCTAGTCTATAGTCTAGTCTAGTCTATAGTATAGTCTATAGTCTAGTCTATAGTCTAGTCTATAGTCTAGTCTATAGTCTAGTCTATAGTCTAGTCTATAGTCTAGTCTATAGTCTAGTCTATAGTCTAGTCTATAGTCTAGTCTATAGTCTAGTCTATAGTCTAGTCTATAGTCTAGTCTATAGTCTAGTCTATAGTCTAGTCTATAGTCTAGTCTACAGTCTAGTCTATAGTCTAGTCTACAGTCTAGTCTATAGTCTAGTCTACAGTCTAGTCTATAGTCTAGTCTATAGTCTAGTCTATAGTCTAGTCTATAGTCTAGTCTATAGTCTAGTCTATAGTCTAGTCTACAGTCTAGTCTATAGTGTAGTCTATAGTCTAGTCTATAGTATAGTCTAGCTTATAGTCCAGTCTATAGTCCAGTCTATAGTCTAGTCTATAGTCTAGTCTATAGTCTAGTCTATAGTCTAGTCTATAGTGTAGTCTATAGTCTAGTCTATAGTCTAGTCTATAGTGTAGTCTATAGTGTAGTCTATAGTCTAGTCTATAGTCTAGTCTATAGTCTAGTCTATAGTCTAGTCTATAGTCTAGTCTGTAGTCTAGTCTATAGTCTAGTCTATAGTCTAGTCTATAGTCTAGTCTATAGTCTAGTCTATGGTCTAGTCTATAGTCTAGTCTATAGCCTAGTCTATAGTCTAGTCTATAGACTAGTCTATAGTCTAGTCTATAGTCTAGTCTACAGTCTAGTCTATAGTCTAGTCTATAGTCTAGTCTATAGTATAGTCTATAGTCTAGTCTATAGTCTAGTCTATAGTCTAGTCTACAGTCTAGTCTATAGTCTAGTCTATAGTCTAGTCTATAGTATAGTCTACAGTCTAGCTTATAGTCCAGTCTATAGTCTAGTCTATAGTCTAGTCTATAGTCTAGTCTATAGTCTAGTCTATAGTCTATAGTCTAGTCTATAGTCTATAGTCTAGTCTATAGTCTAGTCTATAGTCTTAAGTAGACTATAGACTAGTCTAGTCTATATTCTTGTTTATAGTCTAGTTTATATTCTAATCTCTAGTTTAGTCTCTTAAAAGAAATGTAAATATTGGTAATTTTTTGTTAATGTTTGTGAACAGCTAAAGAAAGCATCTGGTAACCTTAATCTTCTATATACAAATTCCTATATATACATGTTTACCCTCTTATTGAAAATGCTTACATACATATATACATGCATATGTATGTCTGATGTACACAGTATTAGTGTGATAAAATTTTAATGTTTAATTTTAAATAAACGGATGTTTAGTGTTCTGTTGCAAGTATCGCAAATCTGTTGAAGGAGCGGAAAAAATTTGTGTGTTAAATGCATAATAAAATTATTTCAAAAGATATCAACACTTATATTTTTAAAGTTAAAATAAAAGTATTTAAAGAAAATGTTTCAGTAATTTAAAAAAAGTTTAAGAAAATCACGTTTTTTTAAATTATTTTTGAAAGTTTTTAAATTATTATTAAAAAAGGTAATTTATTCTGTAAAATGTATAATTAGCAAATTTAACTATAAGAGGTTTCAGACTGATCTTCTAATGAAATTTTCTAAAATGTTTTTTTTTTTCTAATTATTTTTTGTAAAAAATGCTGAATTTTCAACAACAAAATATATGAAAATGTGTTCGTTTAAATATACATTAAAGCCGGTAGATAGACATATTTATGAACGTGGTTGTTTGCGAGCTGGCGAAGAATATTTGGAGACTCACATTGTTTCTGTATGGATCTATATAATGCTAACAATATTCTGGCAGGTTAATAAACTTAACTTTTATAAAATCGACATAATTTCTTATTGATTTAGTTAATTTTTTTATTAAATTTAGTTTTAAAATATTTTGAAGTTTATTATTTTTAAACAAGTTGGTCCCTGATTCTTTTGGAAGTATTTTTACAATTCAGTAAGTAGAACCATAATATAATTGAAAAAGACAAATATTTAAAGAACTAGTTTTTGTAGAATGATTACTGTACTACTACTACCTTCGATTACTAATGCGGTAATTTTTCCCCCGATTTCAATTGTAATCAAATGCCATGAGTTAATCTCTGAAATCTCAAACGTTCTTAAGGCTTAAATTTGTATCGTAAAGACTTTAAGGGACAAACGGGGCAACGATTTAAATAGCCTTTAACTATTCCTAGACCATAGTAGATGAGGTAACTACGCCAATCCGAAACCTAAGTAATTGTCTCTTCCTAACCGTTATCGCTGGGTTTGTGTAGATTTGCGACTCTATTGGTCTAGAAAACGCCATCTAAAGCAACGTTTTTCTAGCTCGTGTCAATCGTAGTATATCGATAGTATTCCAATAAGAACTGTTTAGTCAACAACACATGTTGTTTGATAGGCAGTTTTCTGTTCTCCTCATGTTCTAAATTCGTCATCTTGACCCATCCGGTTGCATTTGCTTTGTGTGTCGCTACTATCCTCTCCTTATCCCTGCTGATGTTCTAAACTTTTGGTTGATGTATTATACAGTCGTATAATGACGCATATGACTCCATAGCCTTCGATGGCGAATGCTGGAAGCATACTACTCCTCCTTGTGGCACGCCCATTTTAATTTTGCTTTACAACTTTGATAGGCACAAGTTGCTGATTGAATCCATTGTGTGAGAAGCGGAAAATGTTCTTTCAACATTGATAGTTGTAGCGATTCGAAAATGTTTGATACAGGATACAACAAGGAGATGGAGTGTATGATTCTTCTGAAGTAGCATGTTTGTTTGGTTTTATTATGGGAATAGGTCGAGAAACTTTCTAAATATCTATGGTTTAGGAATAGTTAAATGCTATCATCAATTGGTGAGAGAGAGAGAGAGACCTACTGAACCGAGATTCGTGAGCGAAATCATTCCAAGCAAAAGCTACTTTCTAAATATCTATGGTTTAGGAATAGTTAAATGCTATCATCAATTGGTGAGAGAGAGAGAGAGAGAGAGAGAGGGAGAGACCTACTGAACCGAGATTCGTGAGCATTAACATAGCGATACCACCATTCCAAGCAAGAGCTTTTAAAGGTTTCGACTTGGCGATCATTTTTTCGATATAAAAAGCGATTAAAGAATATAGCTGAGCATCTCATGTGAGATTCTCTGAAAAATTGTGGTATAAGAACTAGTTCTACAACTGTTTCTTAATAATTTCTTTCAAGAGTAACAATTTTGAAGAATATTCATTAACGAATTAGTTACAGAACCATTCTATAGAAAGAATTATTTCTATACAAATTTATTGGTCAAGCTAAACTAGGAATAATTGTGGAATTTAAACGTTCCTATATAGATTATTTTTATTATTTTTTCTTTTTATTTTTTATTTATTTATTTTTGTATTATTTTTTTTATTTTAAGAGTTTTGAAATATCGAAAATTATTTACGAAAAAGGCTGTGTTCAAGCGGGTGAAGAATGGATGGAAAGAAATCTTATTATAATATCCACAAGTGCTATTATAACAATTTTCTTTCAGGTTTGTTTTTAGTTTTTTTTTTTTTAATTTCTGTAAAATTTTTTATTATAATTATTGTTTTCTACTATTTTCTGTCATATTTTCTTAAACAGAAATCATTTAATAAATTTTTTCTACTTTCTTTTCACCAACCAATACATATAGATATTATTCATAATTTTTACCCAAAATCTACGTGCTGAAATAAATGCTCAAAAATCAAAATGGCACTGACAATTGCCCACAGCCCCTTAAGAAAGGCTGGTTGCTGTTTAAGCGGCTGGAAATGGACATGAAAACAAAAAAAAAAAAAGAAAAAACAACCGAAAATCAATCTTATGATTAGTCAACTAACATACCCTGACATCTTAAAGTCAAGGAAGGTATTTATGTACGTCATGTATTTGGACAGCTGGAATGATGAATATATCGCCTGTTAAATATGTATGTAAGCTAAATTTTAAATATTTATATATATATATAACTATATTATTAAGGGCGGGTTTCTTACTCCTTAGTTAAACTAGGCTTAACTTGCTGTTAGATTAAACTCGGAACAAATTTAGGCGGACTTTAACCGATGATTGTGTTTTTCAGTTTTAGATTTAAGCTCAGTTAACTTTGTTAGTATTGCCAAGTTTTTACTCAAAAACATAAACAATGAACAGCTGTTTTTTGCAAACAATACTTTTGTAAAATAGAAAATTTTGGAAAAATGTTAAATAAACATTTAAAACAATAATAAATAAAACAAAACAGATCAGAAAATTGCAATTTACTTAAAATATTAAGTTTTTGTTCTTCCGAAATCATTGTTTTATTGTTTTTGTTAATTGTGTTTTCTCACTTATAACTTGAGTTTAATTGGCCAATTACACTCAGTTAAACTAAGATAATATGTAACTTTACTGATAACTGAAAAACACGAAACATATAATAAACCAGGTTTAACCAAAGAATGAAGATTATCTTTATCAGAAAAACTCGCCCTAAGTTGCCAATTTTTGATAGTCTATTTTTTAACAATGAATATTTTGTAAATTTTTAAGATTTTTACCTCTACGTACCTTTGAACAATTATTATTATAGTTTTATTATTATAGCTCAAGTGTATTGATTTCTAGCGAGCAATTTAAAAAAGAAAACGTGATTTATTAATGCCTAAAAGTATGCAAAATCGTTTATATATTTAATTTATAAATAATTTATGATACAAATTTTAGAGTCTTGTTTTATATTTTAACTAATTTGGCTCGCCCTTATTTTAGCTGTAAAATTACACAGTCCAACAGAGGCTAGATTGGGATCTTTTAGAAAAATTACTTTGGACTCTGGAGTTAAAAATTTGTTGGCCTTTGTTATGATAATGATTTTAAATATAATTTTGATATATTTTCTCTTTACTATACGATCGTTTTACGAAACGCAAAACCTTTCTTTGTTTAACTACCGTTCGACGTCTTATGGGACACATATTCCTCATTTGATTTGTTGTCATTGCAGCCTTATTTTCCAAACAATTTTGAACTAATCGTTGTTTATACTAAGTTTAGTGAGGAATAAACTCCTTTCCTTCTTACAAAAGGAAATTCTTGAAATATTATTTTTATTATAGAGTAATCAACTAAAAGGTTTTTTGCTAATGTTTCCAAACTATTGCAAATCTATGTTCTAGATATTGACCCATCATTCATTTCTGAAAAATGCGCTAAAGAAATATATTGTGTTTTACCTTTTTATGTGTATATGTTTAAGTAAAAACAATGTATTGAATAAGATATAAATGTTATATATAGAGACGTTTATTATTTTAATGTTTAACTTGTAAATCTCAAGTTTAGAATTAAAATTTAATTTGCCATGTAGTTTGATAACAATTTTTAGACTACAAAGCAAATAAATGAAATGTTCTTAACAAAAACAAACCAATAAATCCTTTTCAGGCAGCTCTATTTCTCTTTTGTTTATTGCAAATTCTATTTCCTTTAAATTAAAGCTTTTTATCAGACTTAGCTAAATTTATCAGACTTAGCTGTTCTTGAATATATTCCTTTTTTAGCTAGTGTTAGTTACATTTTCATTAGGTAAACTGTTTAATGGCAAACAGTTTTTGAAGTATGCAACTGTATAGTCTGAAATATCGAAAGATATACTTTCATTTGTTACTGTCTTCTCAACTATCCTTGTTTCAAAAATATCCTTCTGCTCATAAAAAATTGTACACATTTCTATTAAAGCCGCTTTGGCATTATTATAGCTGATACACATGTATCTTACTTAAGATCGGATAAGCTGACACTATTGCCTCGATCGAAAATCGTTTGTTGTAAACCTAAGCTAGTGGTTTCAAACAAATAATAATAATTTTTTTTTATATTCTTTTAAACTTTTGCCAAAAGAAAACCGAACACTGAGTGTTTGAAACTCATGCTTGAGAATTTGAACGATTGATACATATTTTTTCTTTACGACTGCGCTGCCAACAGCACATTTTTTTCTTAACAAATTATCTATTTAATTAAAGCGATTTATTAACAAATTTGAATATTTTCTTATAGAACTTTTTATGCTCTACATTTTTATAGACTTTTTATAATAATTTAAAAATGTTTCATAAATTAGAAGTTTGCAAATGCTACAAAATTATATGTTAGATTTTTTTCCTCTCTTCTTTCTTATGTAAAACGGGCCAATGATTTTGTTTGTTTCCTCATCGTAACCTATTATATAATTTTATTTTTACCTCGTTATATCTTTTATTAAGAGGTAACGAAATTCATTGGAATTTTCCAATTATGCGTTCACTTTTTACTAGTTTCTCTAGAGTATTTATCCTGCTAGATCCTTTTACGATTGATGCCTTAATTATGTTAATTTCACTTTGTATTACTCTAATTAAAGTTCAACCATTAGTTTGGGATTTGTTGACACATTATTGTTGATTTATATCCTTCCTTACCATTGAATATTGTACAAATGGAGTACAATATATTTACGTTGATTATGAGTTTTAACATGTTTAATAAATAAGATTTTTCTTACATGTTGCGAAACTATTAGAACGATTGATACACATTTTTTCCTTACGACTGCGCTGCCAACATCACATTTTTTCTTAACAAATTATCTATTAATTAAAGCGATTTATTAACAAATTTGAAAATTTTCTTAAAAAACTTTATATGCTCTACATTTTTATAGACTTTTTATAATAATTTAAAAATGTTTCCTAAATTAGGAGTTTGCAAATACTGCAAAATTATATTTTAGATTTGTTCCTCGATATATCATTTATTAATATATAATGAAATCCATTAGGATTTTCCAATGCTCTGTTCACTTTTTGCCAGTTTCTCTGGCGTACTTATCCTGCTAGATCCTTTTACGATTGATGCCTTAATTATGTTAATTTCAGCTTGAATTATTCTTATTAAAGTCCAACCACTAGTTTTGGATTTGCTGATACATTATTGTTGTTATAACGTTTACTATCAAGAATGCTCCTCCAATTTTGATATATAATCTTAAGAGAGAATTTTCATTTACTATTATTTACTATTATAGAATTTGTGAAACTACTCGAAGTAGTGATACATATTTTTTTCCTTACGACTGCGCTGCCAACATCACATTTTTTCTTAACAAATTATCTATTAATTATTGCGATTTATTAATAAATTTGAATATTTTCTTAAAGAACTTTTTATGCTCTATATTTTTATAGACTTTTTATAATAATTTAGAAATGTTTCCTAAATTAGGAGTTTGCAAATGCTACAAAATGAAATCGTAACCTAACACGTTTATGCTAATATATAATATTAATTTAACCTCGATATATCATTTATTAAGATATAATGAAATCCATTAGGATTTTCTAATGCTCTGTTCACTTTTTGCCAGTTTCTCTGACGTACTTATCCTGCTAGATCCTTTTACGATTGATGCCTTAATTATATTAATTTCAGCTTGAATTATTCTAATTAAAGTCCAACCTTTAGTTTGGGTTTTGCTGACACATCATTGGTGTTAAATACTCCTCAGTATTCTTCACTTGATAATTATATTCTGGTCTTAACTGTGACAGTTGTATTTCATTGGTATTAAATATTTTTCATATTTTTTAATTCGGTTATTTTGGTACAGATTGATAATATTGTATTGGTACACAATATTATACAAATGGAGTACAATATGTTTGGGTTGATTATGAGTTTTAACATGTTCCAAATAGGATTTTTAGTATTTATATACCTTACTGCTTACATTACATTGATACATATTTGGTATTTATATACCTTACTGCTTACAGTACATTGATACATATTTGGTATTTATATACCTTACTGCTTACAGTACATTGGTACATATTTGGACCGATGGAATTCGAATCAACATAATGAAAAACAAGACTAATATATATTTTTTCATATTACGTTATAAAGGTTTTGTATTTAAAGAATTACAATATTTTATTTGATGAAAAACAAACAAGTCTAATATATACTGGCTCAGAGAACGTAATTCCAGCACCTGTTAATGCAGTCATTAACGCATAGCGACTTGGTCGTAAATCCATAATTATCACAAAATATTTACTAATCCTTATATAGCCTTTTTCTTCATCTACTACCTGTGTAATTAGAATTTGAGATTTTGTATATGGTTCATGCGATTGACATTAATGTTTGTCGTGATGGGCGCAAATCCATTAGTCGATTAAAGAAATTTGCCAGGTAGGTGTGTGTGAATTTATCCTTCGGAATAAAGAAGGTAAATTTTCGAATTGGTCGGTCTATTCTATCTGTCTTTAGAGTCCTTTGTTCTTTGTCATGGTTGGCCTGTTAGAATTATGCACTTTTTTTCAATACAAATTACGTCTGAAACACAGTTTGAGGAATTCATAAACTTCCTCCAAATTAAAACCCTTCAGAAGCACGAGTAAAAGGGAATCATCATCATTTTGATCGTTTATTTGTTTTAAAAAATTAATACAAAACAGTCAAATTTTCAACTAAAGATAACAAGTGGTTGCACTTTTCCAATCCTATCCTCTTTTGGAAAGGTTCCATCGTTGGCAAAGAGCATATTTACTAGCACTACCTCGAAACGATTTCGCAACATTATCTTAAGAATCATATTGATCCTATAGATAACGCTTGTAGATCAGTATGATGTAACACTATTTCATTGAAAAGAGTTTGCTGCTACTTTAAGGTGAAGTTCGCATTGAAACTGGGCATTATTCTTCACTTGGCAGCCTCAAAGGCCTTTGTCTTTGAGATTGAACTAATCCAACTGTCCGTTTGCAATATTTTCAGTTACTCTCTACCTCACTCTTACTGATCTCACTCAGAATGTCTCACTCTATTGACAGTTAGATACTCTCCGGCTTAGCAAATATGCGAAGAGCAATTTCAGCATATAGTATACATACATTTAATTTTGTTAAACTTGTAAACTACTTGTAAGGAGAACGATACACTTAAGTTAAGAATTTTTTACTTGATTTCATAAAAAAATGTAATACAGACCGATAAACTGTATCAAATTTACACACACTAAATCAATATGGTGTGTTCTATTAGTTAAACGTATTATTCCTTTTAGAATTCTTCCTCGTGTAGTGGAATGTCCACGAATCAAATCTAGGATTATCTAAATCAATAGGGTGTGGTCTATTCTTTAATCGAATTCATCCTCATCCTTCGTTAACACCTTAACAATATCCTTGCGTCTGTAACGACCGATAAACTGTA